TCTAAACTTGAGCAGCACCCAAGTGTTAAAGGGCTACGGGCTCTTGTAACATAGGTCCTTTGTGCTGGAGGACTCTAAACTTGAGCAGCACCCAAGTGTTAAAGGGCTACGGGCTCTTGTAACATAGGTCCTTTGTGCTGGAGGACTCTAAACTTGAGCAGCACCCAAGTGTTAAAGGGCTACGGGCTCTTGTAACATAGGTCCTTTGTGCTGGAGGACTCTAAACTTGAGCAGCACCCAAGTGTTAAAGGGCTACGGGCTCTTGTAACATAGGTCCTTTGTGCTGGAGGACTCTAAACTTGAGCAGCACCCAAGTGTTAAAGGGCTACGGGCTCTTGTAACATAGGTCCTTTGTGCTGGAGGACTCTAAACTTGAGCAGCACCCAAGTGTTAAAGGGCTACGGGCTCTTGTAACATAGGTCCTTTGTGCTGGAGGACTCTAAACTTGAGCAGCACCCAAGTGTTAAAGGGCTACGGGCTCTTGTAACATAGGTCCTTTGTGCTGGAGGACTCTAAACTTGAGCAGCACCCAAGTGTTAAAGGGCTACGGGCTCTTGTAACATAGGTCCTTTGTGCTGGAGGACTCTAAACTTGAGCAGCACCCAAGTGTTAAAGGGCTACGGGCTCTTGTAACATAGGTCCTTTGTGCTGGAGGACTCTAAACTTGAGCAGCACCCAAGTGTTAAAGGGCTACGGGCTCTTGTAACATAGGTCCTTTGTGCTGGAGGACTCTAAACTTGAGCAGCACCCAAGTGTTAAAGGGCTACGGGCTCTTGTAACATAGGTCCTTTGTGCTGGAGGACTCTAAACTTGAGCAGCACCCAAGTGTTAAAGGGCTACGGGCTCTTGTAACATAGGTCCTTTGTGCTGGAGGACTCTAAACTTGAGCAGCACCCAAGTGTTAAAGGGCTACGGGCTCTTGTAACATAGGTCCTTTGTGCTGGAGGACTCTAAACTTGAGCAGCACCCAAGTGTTAAAGGGCTACGGGCTCTTGTAACATAGGTCCTTTGTGCTGGAGGACTCTAAACTTGAGCAGCACCCAAGTGTTAAAGGGCTACGGGCTCTTGTAACATAGGTCCTTTGTGCTGGAGGACTCTAAACTTGAGCAGCACCCAAGTGTTAAAGGGCTACGGGCTCTTGTAACATAGGTCCTTTGTGCTGGAGGACTCTAAACTTGAGCAGCACCCAAGTGTTAAAGGGCTACGGGCTCTTGTAACATAGGTCCTTTGTGCTGGAGGACTCTAAACTTGAGCAGCACCCAAGTGTTAAAGGGCTACGGGCTCTTGTAACATAGGTCCTTTGTGCTGGAGGACTCTAAACTTGAGCAGCACCCAAGTGTTAAAGGGCTACGGGCTCTTGTAACATAGGTCCTTTGTGCTGGAGGACTCTAAACTTGAGCAGCACCCAAGTGTTAAAGGGCTACGGGCTCTTGTAACATAGGTCCTTTGTGCTGGAGGACTCTAAACTTGAGCAGCACCCAAGTGTTAAAGGGCTACGGGCTCTTGTAACATAGGTCCTTTGTGCTGGAGGACTCTAAACTTGAGCAGCACCCAAGTGTTAAAGGGCTACGGGCTCTTGTAACATAGGTCCTTTGTGCTGGAGGACTCTAAACTTGAGCAGCACCCAAGTGTTAAAGGGCTACGGGCTCTTGTAACATAGGTCCTTTGTGCTGGAGGACTCTAAACTTGAGCAGCACCCAAGTGTTAAAGGGCTACGGGCTCTTGTAACATAGGTCCTTTGTGCTGGAGGACTCTAAACTTGAGCAGCACCCAAGTGTTAAAGGGCTACGGGCTCTTGTAACATAGGTCCTTTGTGCTGGAGGACTCTAAACTTGAGCAGCACCCAAGTGTTAAAGGGCTACGGGCTCTTGTAACATAGGTCCTTTGTGCTGGAGGACTCTAAACTTGAGCAGCACCCAAGTGTTAAAGGGCTACGGGCTCTTGTAACATAGGTCCTTTGTGCTGGAGGACTCTAAACTTGAGCAGCACCCAAGTGTTAAAGGGCTACGGGCTCTTGTAACATAGGTCCTTTGTGCTGGAGGACTCTAAACTTGAGCAGCACCCAAGTGTTAAAGGGCTACGGGCTCTTGTAACATAGGTCCTTTGTGCTGGAGGACTCTAAACTTGAGCAGCACCCAAGTGTTAAAGGGCTACGGGCTCTTGTAACATAGGTCCTTTGTGCTGGAGGACTCTAAACTTGAGCAGCACCCAAGTGTTAAAGGGCTACGGGCTCTTGTAACATAGGTTCCTTGTGCTGGAGGACTCTAAACTTGAGCAGCACCCAAGTGTTAAAGGGCAACGGGCTCTTGTAACATAGGTCCCTTGTGCCTCTAAACTTGAGCAGCACCCAAGTGTTAAAGGGCAACGGGCTCTTGTAACATAGGTCCCTTGTGCCTCTAAACTTGAGCAGCACCCAAGTGTTAAAGGGCAACGGGCTCTTGTAACATAGGTCCCTTGTGCCTCTAAACTTGAGCAGCACCCAAGTGTTAAAGGGCAACGGGCTCTTGTAACATAGGTCCCTTGTGCCTCTAAACTTGAGCAGCACCCAAGTGTTAAAGGGCAACGGGCTCTTGTAACATAGGTCCCTTGTGCCTCTAAACTTGAGCAGCACCCAAGTGTTAAAGGGCAACGGGCTCTTGTAACATAGGTCCCTTGTGCCTCTAAACTTGAGCAGCACCCAAGTGTTAAAGGGCAACGGGCTCTTGTAACATAGGTCCCTTGTGCCTCTAAACTTGAGCAGCACCCAAGTGTTAAAGGGCAACGGGCTCTTGTAACATAGGTCCCTTGTGCCTCTAAACTTGAGCAGCACCCAAGTGTTAAAGGGCAACGGGCTCTTGTAACATAGGTCCCTTGTGCCTCTAAACTTGAGCAGCACCCAAGTGTTAAAGGGCAACGGGCTCTTGTAACATAGGTCCCTTGTGCCTCTAAACTTGAGCAGCACCCAAGTGTTAAAGGGCAACGGGCTCTTGTAACATAGGTCCCTTGTGCCTCTAAACTTGAGCAGCACCCAAGTGTTAAAGGGCAACGGGCTCTTGTAACATAGGTCCCTTGTGCCTCTAAACTTGAGCAGTACCCAAGTGTTAAAGGGCTACGGGCTCTTGTAACATAGGTCCCTCGTGCTAGAGGACTCTAAACTTTCGCAGCACATCTTGTCTTGGAAGTCCCTCGTGCTGGAGGACTCTAAACTTTCGCAGCACCCTTGAATTGCACTCTAGTGTTAGAGGGCTACGGGCCTTCGTAACATAGGTCCCTCGTGCTGGAGGACTCTAAACTTTTGTAGCACATCTTGTCTTGAAAGTCCCTTGTGCTAGAGGACTCTAAACTTTCGTAGCACCCTTGTTTGAGATGTCTACCTCGCTTTGTCTTGTTTTGCCACGGACGGTCTACCACGTGGATGCGTTGCCGAAATGTTATTCTTTGTAATATGTGATGCTAGTACGTATCCCCTTGAAACCGTGAAGATTTGTTAGATGGACGAGGTCCATTCCTTGTTACATATATATAGAGTTTTGTCTTGTATTGTTTGAAAGGATTTCGGCTATCATTCATGCAAATCCCTTTATTATTTATGCTATTCACTGAGTATCCAAGCTCACCCTCTCTATATATATGTAGGTGATGAACAAGAAGGCGGTGACGCCTAGATGTGATTTCTGGAGCTTGTTTTTGGGGTCTTATTTATGTCGGCTTAACCTGCACCTATGCTAGCCGTCTTGAAAATCATGCTTCTCGACTTGTAACATTTGTATTTTGAACACGTCGGCTGAGAAGCCTTTTGATCAAGATGTATGTTTTTGTGTGATTGTTATGTCGGCAAAGAAGATGTCGGCAACCTGGTAAACTGTGTACTCAAATCTGTAATTTGTACAATCTGTTGATGTCGGCTTGTGGAGCGCTTTGCTAATACGAAAAATGTAACTTGCACTCTGCTTGTTTGTTATTAAGTTATAACCCATATGTGAGTGGTTACTATCTCATGTGACTTATGCACTGCTCTTATGGACCACTTGTATTTTAGATTATTGCTTCCGCACTTGTGAGCCCCATATATTTATACTCTGTTTGCGTGTGAATTTAGAAAGATGGCCTTCGGTAATCTCGGATTACTGGCCATCACGACACCAAACTACTAGGGGCGGTTTGGGGTCGTGACAAAGTCAGTTGCAGACAAAGTAAAGTAGTTTAGATGCTTGGTGGGAAGCCATCCAAAGAGTTGTGATATCTCACTTAGCTTGTGAGGAGGATGTTAAAAGATAAGCATTATCCTTTTGGAATGTGATTTCTAGGAGGTTTCTACAAAGAAGAGTTAGGGGTGGTTTGGAATGATCTAAATAATTCTACTTTTTGACTTTTTATGAAATATGCTTTGGGTATGGGTTGGGTTTGAACTAATGTGGTAGAGAGGTGATGTGACTTAAATAAGATGATGTGACTTAAATAGGATAGTGACTTTTTGACTTTTTGATTTTTTTAAGTTATGACAAATAAGGCCTTAGAGTCCAACAAGGATTGTGCTATGTAGAACTTACAAAAGTTGAAACCAAATCCTAATTTCAGGTATTGCAATTGTTATTCCTGAATTCACAAAGTTTTTATCTCTTTAGTAGGGCTGTGCAGCGGATTCACTGACCGCCAAAACCGCCCGGCCCGACCAGTAATGGTTGGATGCGTGACACGCGACGGACGGGTGAGGGCTCAAATTTTTTCAATTTTCTAAATTTTCTAGCTCAGGTCAGGCTCTCTCTCTCTCTCTCTCTCTCTCTCTCTCTCTCCTCATTCCTTCCTCCCTCTCTCCCTTTTTTTTTTTTTTTTTTTTTTCAATTTTTTTACACCTCTGGCCCTTTTCTTTCAGTTTACCCTAATTTCTTCGTAGACGCAATAGAAAAAAAAAAACACAACACACACGCAGAGACACACACACACACTCTCTCTCTCTCTCTCTCTCTCTCTTCCCCCTACCCATCGTTCGACGGTTTACACGGAACCTCCGACCGACGGTCTACACTAAACGGCGAGCGATCTACCGTGAATGGCAATCGATCTACACTGAGGTATCTCTCTCTCTCTCTCTCTCTAGATAAAAGATATACAGATACCTCTCTCTGTATATTGAGTTGATCGTTTATGAGTAGTCGGCCTCTGAGAATCTTCGTCAATGGTTTCTTTTGAGATTCTTCGTCTTTGTGTAGTGTGAGATTCTTCGTCTCTGAGTTGATCGTTTACCTTCTTTTTTGTTAGGTATTTTTTTTATCAATCATTCTTAATGAAGAAATAAAGAATTAATAAAGATTAACTCTCAATTTTCGAGTAACAATAACTTAACATTGTGTGTGTGACAGTTGAATTTGAAGCAAATTTATTGATCTATCAACTTTTTTTTGTTGTTAGTAGTTTTGGTATGGAGAGATGGGAGAAAGGAAGGTGTTGAACAAGTACTACCCGTCGGACTTCAATCCGGGGAAGATTTCGAGGCGGAGGCAGCCGAAGAACCAGCAGATGAAGGTGCGGATGATGCTTCCCATGAGCATTCGCTGCGGCACCTGCAGCAATTACATCTACAAAGGTACCAAGTTCAACTCCCGCAAGGAAGAAGTCATCTACGAGGTATACATATATGTGTGTATCTATTTATTCGTAATTGTTAATTGTTAATTGTTAATCTCTTTCATAGTCCTTGATTACACTATCTGAGAATTTTTTATACAAACATTGTGAAAACATAATTTCACAAGGATGAAATTAAATAAATCTAACAAGTCATTTTATAATTTAAAATTGTTAAAAATCATCTCATTATATATTATAAAATACTGATAAAATAAAAAATTGGTAAGTGATTTTATAAAATAGGTATCATCTCATTATATATTTTATAAATAATCTCATTATATATTATAAATCATCATGAAATATAAGGGTAGTATTAGAATATTCCAAAACTTGGGAGGGACTGTGGCCATTGCGCATCCCTATACAGTTCCATGCTTGATTGGGATTATTAATTCGTAAGACTCACATTACATTGTTTGGTTGCAAATTTTATTCGGATTAGATTTCAACGACCATTTTATTCAACAAAATTGATGGAATCTTTAATCCCACAACTAATAATGCAAAACATATATATAATTGGGATTATATATTTTCATATCTATTGCAAAATAAATGTGGACAAGAGGGAATTATATATCTCACTAATCGAGCTGGATAACCAATCCTACGCTAATCTTATGGATTATTAAACCCCTCACTATTAGTCCTGCTAAATTTATGTCTTTGTTTTAAAATGATTGATTGCTAGAAATTTTGGGTATACTAGTAGAACTCGAATATTGTTGGCATGTAATTGAGGCAACAGTTTTTTGTGAAGGAAAGTGTACTTTTTGGATGTTATTCACAGCTCGGGCTTTATCCATGGGACTTGTAGGGAACCAAAAGATTTGTGTACATCAGCTTTCACTGGTGGTATGTGTTTAATCACATAGACACATTGATCAGACTACACCCTTGTGGTATGGGCACATAGTGAATAATAAAAAAACAAAATAGCTATTAGTTCATGCATGTTTTAGGGCCTGGTTCCATGCTGGTGATTGTGCATATCAAGCGTTCTAGTCGTAGGTTCCTCATATGTAATGTATAGTGGGATATGATGGGTTTTTATGATCTTTCTAATTTTTAAGTTAAATCATGATGTTTACAGAACTAGTTTTTATGGGACAGGTTACTTGTTTTAACATTTGGTTGATTGTTAACCTTTTGGAATGGTATCTCTTGGTACTGTGATGATTATTTTTCTTTGTTTTTTAAATAGAGGTTTTTGACAGCGAAAATCAATCTGCTTATTACTGATAAGGAAACCAATTTTAATTAGTTTATAGTCACTTAGATTTTTTTTTTATTATTAATTTGATGGTAGATAAGGACTAATTATCTAGGCCTTAATCTATTTTGTAGGTTTTTATCCAAAGAGAATGTTGTTGTGCATAACTACCACGATTTCTAACCGATCAAAATGTCTGCATAACTTCTTGTGTTTTTGAACTTGTTTTTACATATGAACTAGAAAGTCGTTATTTTTGTTTCGGGAGGGGGGAGGGGGGAAGAAAACACAAAAATTCAGGATATATTCTTCCCCTGTTACTTTGGGTCACCTATTATTTCTTAACTAGTGACGAATGGTAGATGTCTCCAATTGAGGTTAGAGGATTAACACAAGTTGTGTAAGAAGGCAACTATTGATCATAAATCTAGAGACACTTTCTAAGTAGAGCAACCATATTTTTATGTGGATTCAATGTACCCACAGTATTGTCACTACAAATCTACTACTTTTCTAGATGCCAGATTTTTACCATCTACCTTATCTTTTCTACTTTCACATAGGGATTAACCAGATGAAGTGATGTCCTGACTGAACATATTCTATGTAAAAGCATGAGGTGACATTGGATGAAATATCAACATTATGCTGTTTGAAAGATGGATACCCTTGTTATGGTTATAATATTGTTATCTTCACTCTATTTATCCTTATTTCTGTGATCTGTAAAATACATCCTTTTCAGACATTGGTTATGAGATACGAATTACTATTGTTCAGTGAACTGACTGAAATGTTAAAACTATTTGCAGACATACTTGGGGATCCAAATATTCATGTTTTATTTCAAATGCACTAAGTGCTCTGCTGAGTTAACAATAAAGACCGACCTGCCAAATTCAGACTATGTTGTTGGGTCGGGTGCATCACGGAATTTAGCATGCCATATACAGCTTTCTATTTCATCTTTAGATCTCCTTATTTTGTTGCAATCGTGATTTGATTTTGGCTTCTTATATAATTTGTACATTGCTCTCTTTTTCAAGAAGTAGATAAGGAAAAACAAAAAAGGAATACGGAAGAGATGGGAGATGCAATGAAATCCTTGGTGAATAGAACCTTGGATTCAAAAAGAGAGATGGATGTCCTTGCTGCCCTGGATGAAGTGAAGTCCATGAGGGTACTTGCTTAGTCAAATAACTAATACGTAGTGAACATAATAAACATATATTAAGGTGGTATGTTGATAATCAATATATAAATAATCTGGGGGTTCAGGGAGGGGATGCCCTATTTCTGACCTTGACCAGATTAGTTTTATTAATCCCTAAAACCGATTAACCCCAACTCATACCCAGTAGAGTCAGGCAGGGCCAAGGCTGGAATTCTAGATGTATTGAGAATAACTTAATGATTCAACTACTGAATTCATGGCCTTATTAACTTCATAAGTTGGTAAACTTATTTTGGGTTAAAATGTCAATTTGCCTGACATATGGGATCATTAGCCAAGTGTGAAAGTTTGTTGTTTTATTCATTTTACTCAGATGTGAACTTGACTTTATATTTTAAGCATACTAAAACAAGTCTTCTTTCTGCTTTTTCAGTCTAGACAAGCAACTATCAGTGTAGATGCAATGCTGGAGATCTTGCAGCGCTCAGCTGAGGAAAAGGTAAGGTCATTTATGCTAGTTCATTATTTCAACCTTTTGGGTGTAAATGCATTTTGTGGAAGCCTTGAACAATGAAGCCCAATTGCCATTTTGGTCACTATTGTGATGTACTACATTTATGTGAATGGCAGCAGCAGTATCTAATGTGGGATTGAATTTATGTTTAGCTGGCAATATTATTTTATACCTGCAGAACTGCCTGAAGTAAGCATGTAGTTTGACCTTTTTTTTGAATGGGCTGCATTCAAGTAATCTTTTGCTCACTTTTGAACATAATAGGTTTTGATTCAGGTTGCCTCCTAACTCATTGAACCAAAAATTAACACAAGTAAGAAGTTCTAGATATATATATATATATATATTAAAGTCTTTGAATGTCTTTTTCTTCTTTTGAGATAAGTTAGTTAAATGGCTGGTTTGGCATGCCTACCTAAAATCTGTTCAGTGTTAAGGCTAGGCACTGGCTGTATTGATCTGACGACAATTTGATAGGGCTCGAATTCAAAAGCAAACTATAATTTTGTTGGAATTTGAGCTTCAGTATTTCTATACTTTAAACTGTTGGACCAATATATTGATGTCATAACAAATCATCCAGAGGTATAGCTATTTGACCACATCATAGCTGCGTGTGAATTTGTCAAGGCTGCTTAGGAACTCAAAATATGTGAATTTAGATACTATTTTATCACCATTAGTTCTTACTAAGTCCTGGTATTTTTTTTGTCAACATGAAAAGAAGTTGGAAGAAGAGGATGAAGCACTCATAAAATCATTATTTGGAGTGAGTACATCATTGTCAAACTACTGCTATTTTGCCATGTTGCTGCCCCTGTTTTTTGGTAGTTTGTACTCGTGAGATTTAGTTGGTGTCCAAATTCTTTCTCAGGCACCAAGAGAGGTCGTTCGCAGGATCGATGATGATATTCTTGATGATGATGAAGATTTATCTCAGATTTCAATTGACAATGCTAAAACATCAAACAATAATTCAAAAGTATGATCCTTTACTAATAATTTGGTTGTGTGATCTATACTAATCATGAACTTATTTTATGTCACATAGTTTCACGTGTCATCTCTATGATATGAGATTCAACGAGTGATTTATATCGAAATTGGTGTTCAAACTATCTGAATTGTAAGATTCAATTCACAAATTGTAACATTTTGATACTCTCTCTTTATGATGGATTCATTTTATTTGTGCCATGTCCCTTGCTAAACTTTTACATGTAGGCAAGATTCAATTCACAAATTGTAACATTTTGATACTCTCTCTTTATGATGGATTCATTTTATTTGTGCCATGTCCCTTGCTAAACCTTTAAATGTAGGCTTTAAGGTTATGTTAGTCTTGGGCTAAATTTGTTTTTGAAAACACACAACAGGATGGCATAGAGGAAAAGTCTAGGCATTAATTTCAGCATAAGGAAGATTTGAAATTTCAAATTTTCTAGAATACATGTGAAAGGAATCTGATGATAGCAAATTTGATTCTTCTGTATCAATTGCTAGTTAACCCTGTGCATGTTGCTGTTAGCAGAAACGGTGTGATACTTTATTGAAAGCTATAGCGACCCCGGTCTTTTCCCATTTGATTATTGTATCCGGACTTAGGTTCCGTAGATTCTGTCATTTCTTCTGCTCCTGCCTCCTCTCCCTACACTCACATTTCTTTTCATGCTTCCAAGTAAGGGTCTATCGTACACATTCAAGGAGCACTCATGGAAATCATAGTTGGTCTTTACAATGAAAATACTGTTGTACCTGAAACAAAAAATGAATAAATCAATAAACTTTATGAATTCTATGCATTTGTTACTAAGTTCATTATGTTTCTTGTGCAGAGGAGAAAGGTTTCTGAAGAACTTCCCACTAATAGGTTTCTGAAGAACTTCTCGCTAAGCCAACAGAGAGTAATGTTAGGTATCATGAAAAAAATATCACGAAAATGATCACGAAAGATTTTTCACCATTAGATTACACATGTAAGACAATCGTGAGATTTACTTGGTGTCAAAATTCTTTCTCAGGTACCAAGAGAGGTCGTTCGCAGGACCGATGATGATGTTCTTGATGATGATGAAGATTTATCTCAGATTTCAACTGACAACGCAGAAACATCAAACAATAATTCAAAAGTATGATCCTTTACTAATAATTTGGTTGTATGGTCAATATGTATCTAATGAGTGGTTTGAAAAATGACAAAAGGATAAAAAAGGATGAAGATTTTATGTGGTATAAATTGGCGAATAAGGAGGTTAAAAGGATAATTAGGAATGCTAAGCTAAAAGCCTACACCAATCTTTATTCTAGATTAGATAGTAAAGATGGAGAAAATAATATTTATAAATTTCCTAAATTGAGAGATATGACACAAGACACTTAATCAGGTAAAGTATATAGAAGTGAGGATTTGAAGGTGTTAGTCAAGGATGAGGAGGTTAAGGAAAGGTGAAAAAATTATTTTTAGAAACTGATAAATAAAAATATTTAGAAAATCTAAGAGTAGTGGAATATGATAGCTTTGATGGGACTAGAGAATATAGGTTTTATTGTTGACTAAGAGAGTTTGAGGTGTAACTTGCACTGAAGAAGATGAAATTAGGTAGGCATTAGGATCAAACTGTATCCTTATTCAGGCATGAAAATGCTTAGGTAAGGAGGGGTGTCTTGGTTAACAAAGTTCGTTAATAAGATTCTAATGACTAGGAAAATACATGATGAGTGGAGAAAAATGAGATATCCAAAATTGCAACAATTATTGAGACATTCAGTTCATGATTCATACTATGAATTGTGGGATTGAGCATCTCTTAAGGGTTACAACGACAATGTCCTTTAAACAATTTGAGTTTATGTCTTGTAGATCAACTAAAGAAACAATATTTTGACTAAGAAGAATAATAGAAAAGTACATTGAGAAAATGAGGGATCTACATATGTTTTTTTTTTTTTTTTTTTTTTATTTTTTTTTAATAGATTTAGAAAAAGTTTACAATAGGGTGCCTAAAAATTAATATTGTTGGTGTTGGAGAAAAAGAGTGTGACCAAAGGGTATAAGGATGCGATAAAAAACATGTATGATGGGGGTTGTGGCTACTTCTAGATCACCTACAACCTACAGGGGAAACTAGTGAATTTTCAATTACTCCTTACCTATTTGCCTTAGTAATGGCTGAAGTAACTAAATGCATTATGTTGTTTTGAAGGATATCCATTAGGATGAAACCAAGGAAGAAGTTAACAGTTCTTTATTTTTTATTTCATTCAAAGCTTCCTAAAGACACTTTCTAACATCTAGCATATCTAAACAATTGGAAACCACATTTGCTAGTTCCAAATGCCTTCAATATATTCTAACTCTGAAGGCTTTTGGGAAGCTTACTTTAGGAGTAGAGGGAAAGACTACAGAAAAGCTATTTTTACAATTTCTGACATTGAGAGGCTAATGAACCATACAAATCGTGAAATTATTTTGTGTCACATAGTTTCACCTGTCATCTCTATGATATGAGATTCAACGAGTCATTCGTATCGAAAATGGTGTTCAAACTATCTGAATTGTTAGATTCAATTTACAAATTGTAACATTTTGATAATTACGCTTTATGATGGATTCATTTTATTTGTGCCATGCCCCTTGCTAAACTTTTAAATGTAGGCTTTAAGGTTATCTTGGGCTAAATTTGTTTTTAAAAACACACAGCAGGACAGCATAGAGAAAAAGTCTAGGCATTAACTTCAGCATGAGGAAGATTTGAAATTTCAAATTTTCTACAATGTGTGAAAGGAGCCACCTGATAGCAAATTTGATTCTTCTGATATTGCTAGTTAACCCTGTGCATGTTGCTGTTAGCAAAAATGGTGTGATACTTTATTGAAAGCTGAATATATTGGACACTTCTTTTATGCCATAAACTGATGCAGCATACATACTTCTGCTCCTAAACTTATAAATCTAGGTTGGCAGACACTCTTTCTTCTGCTCCTGCCTCCTCTCCCCACACCCACATTTCTTTTCATGCTTCCAAGTAAGGGTCTATCGTACAGATTCAAGGAGCACTCATGGAAATCAAAGTTGGTGTTTACAATGAAAATACTGTTGTACCTGAAACAAAAAATGAATAAATCAATATTTATGAATTCTATGCATTTGTTACTAAGTTCATTATGTTTCTTGTGCAGAGGAGAAAGGTTTCTGAAGAACTTCCCACTAAGCCAACAGATCATCTGACGGAAACAAGTTACAATTCCAAGAATGAAGGTTGTTAAGTTGGTCCAAATAATTCTTAGATTCTGTTTTTTTAATGTTTGCAAAGTTCCATTTGATTGATTGTTGTCTGTTATCCCTTAGTATGCATGTGTAGCAAGTTAGCAACTGCTATAGTTATATGTTCTCTAGAACTTTTAAGGGTACGTAAATAATTAGTTGCTGTTTGTTCCAAACCCCCTTCACCTTCCCCTTTCTTGTGTGTGGTGCATGGGCATTCTTGAATGGCAAGTCTTTTTTTTGAACTCTTAAAAGGCTAGGATTTTTTTTTTCTCCGCAAACAAATAAATTTTAGTGCCCATTTGGTAATGTTCTAAAGAATTGAAAAAATAAAAACGATACTGAAAACATGTTTAATAAGAATTTTCTTGAAAACGCGTCATTTTCAGGAATTGTTTATTTTATTTTATTTGAGTTCTCAAAATTTCGACTTCAATGAAAATGACATGCAAATAATTTTGTTTTTGTATTTTCCATTACCAAAAAAAAAAAGAAAGAATAATCGAAAACCAAAAATAATGAGAACAATGCCAAATGGACCCTATAAATTCTGTGTTGCTTGGCAAGTGTTGGAATTTTTTGTGCATTTGCTAAAATTTCCTCTAGTAATGAAACCTAATTTTGTATGTCTAGGATGTTAAACGATATATTTTCTATGCACATTGAAAATATTGTGCACAATAACATCAATAACTATATGGGCTCATGATTTGTTAACTTCATAATCTAATGTGATGAAAGAAATGTGAAGAAATTGCAATTAGTCTGCTAAAGCATATTGCATCTGTACAAAATTTGACGAAACTTGTTTATTATGCTTATGCACCATTTCATTCTGCGCCGTGGCTAAACAAGCAATTATATGCAAATTAAATAGTATATTATTTTGCTCTAATTGTGTCTGCTCTGTATAAATGTAACTGTTGACTTGATATTATGTGAATTTGGAGGACAGTATTTTTCATAATGGTACTGATTCATTTCTGTTTTTCTGTGGTTATTGACAGAAAACAAAGGGTATTCCCGGGCACTAGGTGACGGTAGATTCATTTTCAAGTCTCCGTCAGTCAGAGTTTCTGTTGTTAGGAAGCCATCATTAGCCTCCAACAGCAATGGACCGGCAAAACATGAGGAGGAGCGCAAAGCAAATGTTTCTAGCTCTGGACTAATGTCTCTATGTCAAAACTATGAAAGCGATGAAGATGATTAGTTAGCAATTGTAAATTACTACGTCAAATCATGTCAGCCTTGTAGATGAAGTAGATATGAAAATCTCTTCACCAATTTCAGAGTATACACTGACCCGAGCTGGTGGCGCTGACAATTTATTGGGATCTATTAATGTTGCAAATGCACCAATAACTGATGATCCCGAAGACCCCAATAACAATGCCATGCCACAAAATCAATAACCCCAATATTAGACTGATTATTTGTCACTGAAACAAGAACGACACAATCAGCGCGTACAATGGAAACAGCAAATGGAGAATCAGTTCAATGCATTGGGTAATCGGTTCGATGTGTTTGCCGCCGTTCAGAACTCACTAATTCAACAATTTGGTGAGTTTCGTGTTGACACTGAAAGACGTGATGAAGTTACAAGCAACTACATTGATGAGATTGACCATCGAGTGACTCAGGTCTACCATCACTACTTCCTTCCACCTCCACTACCACCTGACAATGATGCTTAATTTGTTTCGATGAGCGATTAAATGGTTGACGCATGTTATGGTTTTTAGTTGTGTTGCAGATGTACTCGTACTTGCTATTCTTATTTGTTTGTTTCCTTTTCTTTCTTTCTTAATTTTTTGGTTCACAGATGTAAGCACCATTTGTCGTTGTATTTTCTTTTTGTATTTTTCTTTCGTATAATCGATAGATGTCTATTTTTATTTTTAAATGATGCACCTATCTATTTATTTTAGTTTGTTTTTATTTTATTTTTGTTTTTTTTCTTCATAACCAACTCTTTTCAAATTTCAATTCAAAAAATAATTATTAACAAAAAAAATACTGTTAACCAAACTGTTCTTAAAATTTAATTGAAAAAAATAATTATTAACAACCAAAAAAAAAAAAAAACAGTTATAACCAAACTGATTTTTTTTAAAATAACAATTAATTGAAAAAATACTGTTTTTTTTTTATAATAATTTTGTTTTACTGAAATATTTTAATATTTTACAACAAAGTTATTTTTGTTTATATTTTTTTAAAAATTATGGTTGATTTTGTAGAACACCAATGGGCAAATGAATTTCAAAATGTTTTTTTTTTAATAATTTTGTTTTACTGAAATATTTTAATAGTTTACAACAAAATTATTTTTTTAATATTTTTTTAAAAATTATGGTTGATTTTGTAGAACACCAATTCAGTCAACTAAAATTTTTAAATGTTTTTTTAAAATAATTTTTTTTACTGAAATATTTTAATATTTTACAACAAAATTATTATTTTTTTATATTTTTTAAAAAATTATGGTTGATTTTGTAGAACACCAACGGGTAGATGAATTTTAAAATGGTTTTTTTTAATAATTTTGTTTTACTGAAATATTTTAATATTTTACAACAAAATTATTTTTTTTATATTTTTTTAAAAATTATGATTGATTTGTAGAACACCAATTGAGTCAACTAAAATTTTAAAATTGTTTTTTTTTCATAATTTTTTTTATTGAAATATTTTAATATTTACAACAAAATTATTTTTTTTTTGTATTTTTTTAAAATTATGGTTGATTTTGTAGAACACCAACGGGGTAGATGAATGCCAAATTGGGTTTTTTTTTTTTTGGTTTACTGAAATATTTTAATATGTTACAACAATAGTATTTGTAATATTATTTTTGTAGTATTTTTTTAGAAATTATGGTTGAATTTGCAGAACACCAACGGGGTAGATGAATGTTAAAATGCTTTTTTTTATTTTATTTATTATATTTGTTTTACTAAAATATTATAATATGTTATAACAAAAATAACTTTTTTGGGGATGTTTTTTAAAATTATGGTTGCTTTTGTAGAACACCAACGGGGTATATGAATTTTAAAATGGTTGTTATTTCCACGCCAACAAGAGTAGCGTTATCCAACTATTGATTTTCTCACGTAAAATCCCACGTACTATTATGGTTGCTTTTTCAGAACACCAACGTGGTAGATGAATTTTGAAATGTTTTTTTTAATATTTTTGTTTTACTAAAATATTTTACAACAATTTTTTTTAATATTGTTTTTTTTAAATTATGGTTGATTTTTTTAAAATATATTTTTAATAATTTCAAATGTTTTACACATTAAAAAAAAAAAATCAAAAGTAATAATCCATACAATACTACGAAATTCACATTATTTCTTCACATCACAAATCTACCTATGGCCAACATGATTTTGCCACATAGTAGTAGCAATTACATCCCTGAAGTTCGATTGGTACGTCAACTCGTGTTGTGACATGTCAACATAGTCAGCTTGGCCTCCAACAAACCTGTCTACTGCCGCTTCAACCACCATTTCATTATCAGTTTCCATGAAGAATGGGTCCATAGCTGCATGCAAACGGATCCAATTGTGCACTACACAACATACAATCATGAGGGGTCCTTGTCTTGTGGACTTGTAATTTGGCATGGACCGCAATATTGGAAAGCGTTTCTTCAGAACACTGAATGTTCTTTCTATGACGTTGCGTAACGACGAATGTCGATGGTTAAACAATTCCTTGGGTCTAGAATAATGACGGCTATGAAACTCTTGCAAGTGATAGTGTTGGGAACGAAATAGGCCAAGAAATCTAGGCATGTTCATGAAGTCGGCATCCACTAAATAATACTTGCCTACATGTAAATAATGTAGGCAATGCTCTGTCAAATACAAGTACACAAAAATCAACATTTAAGACAGAACATAGTGTTATTTGGTGACACTCACCATGGGGTGGGTGTGAGAAATATAGATCAGCTCTTGTAATTGAGTCAACTAAAATTGCGTTGTTGTGGGCGCTACCTTCCCATCCAGAATTGATAAATGTGAACAACATGTCGAAGTCGCAAGCTGCGAGTACATTTTGCGATACCGTAGCTTTGCGACCATAGAATGTATTTTGTCTTGAGGCTGGGACCGGCACATCCACCAATGGGCCATCGATAGCACCGACGCAATCCTACTTGAAATATATTAGTTTGACATTAAACGCGAAACAACCTAGATATTACTTGTAAAACATTCAAAAAAAAAATTTAATTCGTTACTATTATTGAAAACTTACAAGACAAACATGTAGTCATACCTTGAACCACGGAAAAAACCTCATATGATTTAAAATTTTTGCCGGTATCTCATCTTAGTTACGTGGTTTGATAATCGTTGGTGCAAGCTTGCACAGTGCCCGCATAATGATTTTGATGTACTGACAAATAGTTTTAGTGGAGTGTTGAAATCTATCAGCTAGTAGTCTATGCTGGTCATTTTGTGCGAAAGTGTACAAAAAAATGACAAGCGATTCCTCGACACTGATATGCATATGTTCAGTTTCGACAAAGCTATTTTGAAGTAAGGTGTCTGTAACGCCCCAAATTTCTAGCCTTGGTTGGTTTTCATGTCTTTTTCCAAATTCAATACTTATCTCCATGTTTGGAATTATTGAATTGACATGGCCCCACCAATTGATTTGTTGAATGGTATGCTTGATTGATGTTTTGTCAAGTAGTCCATAAAAACTCTTCTTTTTCTCAAATTTTAAGAGACCCACTATGACAACCCTTTGAATCACAACGACTTATTTAGAGAGAGAGAGGCAAAATTGTTTCACTTTCTCTCTCTCTATATCTACATACCCATGTACTTGAAAGGCATGGAAGCCTGCGATTTTTCTGGGTTTGGTTTTAAGTGTAGAGAGAGGGAGGAATACGTTAGAGTGTGAGGTTGTTGGTTGTGGGTGCGCCAACGCACTTCACGGCTTTGTTCATTGCTCCCTGGGCTATGGCGGACCAACGCCCACTAGGGGTTAAATGGGTCTTGCTGAAGAAGGTACTTCGTCGGTCAATTATGATAATATCATGAGCAATAATAGGTCTCAATATTTGGACAATGACGATGAAAAGCTCCGAAATAGAGTGGCGATAGAGGCTTTTGCCAATATTTTAGCCATGAAAGTAGCATATGCCTAGTTATAGTTTACTTAGTTTTCATTTAATATTGATGGGATTCAAGCTGTTGATTAGCTGGTGGTCTCTCACATGATGGTCTTTCGTATGGTGGTCTTCCGCATGGAGGTTTTCTATATGGAGGTCTTCTGCATGGTGGTTTATCTTCCGTATAGGGATTGGTCTCCCTTGGGGGTTGGTCTTCCATGGCGGTCTTCCGTAGGGATCGGTCTTCCTCATGGAGGTTTTCCACATGGTGGTCTTCTGTGGCAGTCTTCCTTATGGAGGTCTTCCACATGGTGGTCTTCCGTGGCGGTCTTCTGCTCAGCGGTCTTCGTCATAGAGATCTTCTGCATGGGGGTCTTTCGCATGGAGGTCTTCTACATGGTGGTCTCCCGCGTGGTCTTCCACGTGGAGGTCTTCCGCGGCAGTCTTCCATATGGAGGTCTTCCACATGGGGTCTTCCGCATGGTCTTCCATAGGTAGGTTTTCCATATGGGGGTCTCCTACATGGTCTTCTACATAGAGGTCTTCTGAGGCGGTCTTCCGCACGATAGTTTTCTGCTCAGCGGTCTTTCTCATGGAGGTCTTCCACATGGTGGTCTTCCGCGGTGGTCTTCTGTACGACGGTCTTCTGCTCAGCGGCCTTCCTTATGGAGGTCTTCTACATGGTGGTCTTCCGCGTGGAGGTCTTTCACATGGTGGTCTCCCACATGGTGCTCTTTTTTTTTTTATATTTATTTTATTTATTTTTTATTTTAGTCTGGCTAAGGATTTTTGGACTCAGTCTGGTTGAGGTTGAGGTCTTCATGCTCAATCTGGCTGAGATCTTCATGCTCAGTCTAGCTGAGGATTTTTTTTTAAACTTAGTCTCGTTGAGGTTGAGGTCTTCATGCTCAGTCTGGCTGAGGCTTTTCAAACTCAGTCTGGCTGAAGTCTTCATGCTCAGTCTAGCTGAGGCTTTTTTTGAACTCAGTCTCGCTGAGGTCTTCATGCTCAGTCTGGCTGAGGTTTTTGAAACTCACTCTGGCTGAGGCCTTTTAAACTCAGTCTAGTTGGCTGAGGTTGAGGTCTTC